GACCCAGATGTACCTTGTTTTAAAAGATCAAATTTTGATTTAAGGGGACTTATTTCTGTTTGGATGGTTTTAAGCATGTCTTCTTGAGAAGAGATGGAGAGAATCCTGAAAATCTTTTCCAGAATTATCTCCATTTCAGTGGATTTATGGTTATTGATGAAAGTATGCTTTTCAGGGGGCGGGGTAGGTTTTTTTGGCTCCTGCGACTTGTTACTGTGAGTCGAGGGCGTCTTGAGAGACATTCTGTGCAAGGACTTGGGAATACTTGTTTTATTTTTTAAAACTGCATTGAAGTTTTTGTTAATTAAAATATTATTTGTATCAATAGTACGGTCTCTGATATTGTTAGGAGCATTGCTGTCCTTCATTGCTGGGAAGTTTACGTCATAGTTTTCAAGTAAATTGTATGGGTTGTTAGAGAATTTCTCTTTGTATTCTCTAAAAGATAAGTTCTGGATGGTTAAAATTTTTTTTAAATTTTCCTCTTTCTTTCTTTTTGGACACTCTCGAAATGTTACGTTGTGGTCCAGAGACCCGCAACCTAGACATTTGATTGAGAGGCATGAGTCCGTAGGACAGGCCGGTGACTTGCCACAGTTCAGGCATCTGCTTTCCTTACTTTTGCAGAATTTGGCGATGTGACCAAATCGGGCGCAATTATAGCAGAGCCTGACGGAAGGAATGAAGTAGTCAATTGGAATATTGCAATAGTTGAATTTTATACTCTTGGGAATTAGTTTACCCTTGAAACCAATCTTTAGGCTGTTTGTTGGGATGAACATTTCTCTGTCTGCAGGGTCTCTTCTGAGGATTCTTGTAACAGAAATGATTTCAATATCAGAGGTAGCTGAGTTGAGAAAGTCCTCTTCCTTAATTGAAGGTGGAATGTTTTTTACGATCCCAAATTTTTCTGTGAAAATTCTAGGGATGTAGGCCTTGCAAGACTTTGGACCAAAATCATTGTTTATTATGAAGTTGTTGGCATCAACCGCAGTAGCAAAACCAAGTTTGGCTTTGCCATTGTTGATGGGTTTGATATTAATCAAACCATCCAATTTGAGATCTTTGATGTGTTCGAAAAAAACTAAATCTGAGTTAAGGCGAAAAGGTTTCTCTAGGTCATTGTTGCATACTTCAATGAATACGTAGTACTCACCGGTCGTGTCGTCACTATAACGCTTTGGACTAGTTGGGTCAGAGCTCTTTCCTTTTATGGGACTACTATTATTGTTACTGTTCACCGAGCTGTCTTTGTTGGGAGGCTTATTCCTAGAGGGAGCGATCGGGGACTTTAAGGAGGTGATATTGACATCCTCAGTCAAGTCTTTTACAGATGAATTGTTCTTATCAGAGATGATCTTTTTGAGACCTTCGTTCTGGGCTGTGATTCTTCTTTTAAGTGAACCCTTGCTATGCGTGATTCGAACAAAATTTTCGAAATCATCATCGTTTGATAACATGTTTGAGAGCCTCACCCCCTTGAGGGGCGGGCGACTTTTAGGTTTCGTGCTAGATTAAAGGCAGGAGAAAAGGATCAACTGACTTACCGAGAAAAGAAGGGATATGGAAATCAGCCGTTTTTGGTGGAACCGACAGAAACGAACAAAAGCCAAAGTGAGTCTTCTCAGGATGAGGTTGAAGACAGCAGGTGGTCCTGCGCAATTTGCGGAGCAGCACAAGGACGTCGAAGCCTTTGTTGATTTTGTTTAAATGCCGCAACTTCACTATATATATTTTCACTACTTCAAGAGTTTTCAGAAACAAAAGTTTGTGAAAGAAAAAAGAGAATTTTTTCTTTTTTGTTGAAAAACTAAATAGTTGCGTATAAATTGAGAATAAACCAAAGCGCAACTAAATAGTTGCGTATAAATTGAGAATAAACCGAAACGCAAAATAAATAAATAACGCAAACATTTATCAGCTGTTTGTAGGTAACAAACAAAAATCCAGCTTTTGTAGCCCATACGTTTTATTAAAAATCCGCCTGAGTGGCCGAGTAGGCAAGAGTCTCGCAAGTCAATGGTCGTGGGTTCGAATCTCAAGTGCGGTAGAGTTTTTAATAAAGCCGAAAGCCTTAGATGCTAGTGCTTTAAGACTTTAGTCTTAGAATTTATTCTCTGGCTAAATTTCTAATAATAATAATAATAATAATAAAAAAGTGCAGTAAAACTTCGAAGAATAGATTTTTCTTAATAAGCCATGAAGCTCATATCATTTTAAAAATCGCGTTCGCCTTGGAAGTAATGCGTTCGAAAATAATAATAACGAATTCTATCTGATGGGCAAGAAAGTGACTACTTTTACATTTATACAAAATTTAAAATTTCTTCTGTATGGAAAATTACAAAAGAACGGAGCTGGTTTGCACACAGCCAGTTTTTGCTATTGGAATAGCGACACTGATGGAAGCTGCACAGTGTGTTGGGAAGATAAGACCATATATTGTATTGCATCTGTGTTTGGTTTAGCGATTTAGATGAGAGAACCGAATTTTTTTGATTTTGCGGTTTTAAGGGAAGGTATGGAGAGAATTTTGAAATTACATTGGAATATATCATAAATGTGTGGAAAATAAAACTAATATAAAACCACAAACCTTGTATTTTCATATCAGCAGATTTTTTTCCTCCACTTCTTCTCAATTGATAGATATGCTCACGCCGTTTCTGTTACTTCGTTCCATTAACAGATGAGAGAGATTTTTTATTCACCATTTTTATATTTATTTCTTATTAAAAGCAACCCTACGCTCTCTCCACTATCCACACATAGTACTTTTTTCATAAACGATGTAAAGGAAAGAACCAGCTAACGTTTTTCTGTGAAACATAAGCATTTTTTTTATTTCTTTTAGCGTGCCTACCCCCCATGCCCATCATCACTTGTAATCGTGTATGTGTAGTTCTTAAAAAAGAAAAAAATGAACATAAAAAAATTGGTACAAAACAATGTAATATTTATTTACTGATCAATGTTTATTTACAGATAGTGAGGGTTTTTATCGTTACATATTCGAATATAACTGTTGTTGGCGAGTTTAACTGTTATTGATTTAATATAATGAAGCCCTATTTTACGCGATTTAAGAAATAAGGTTTTTGGAACCGTAGCGAAAATTGACACAAAAGGAAATTTTTTCTTTAAATTCTTCAATACGATCGTGACAGATCATCGGACGAAAAAATTTTTATTATCGAATATGACTCTTCCCACTTCAGATGAACGCGAGTCGTTTTTAAGAATCATTGGCCCTTGCGACTTTGTTACAGGCGGTATTGTAGGTGAACTTGGAGAAAGTTTTCACTTTCTTTTGACGACATAGTATTTTAAAAATGGACGGCCTTCATTTAAATATGGCTTGGCACTGATTATATAAGAGTTGAATACGGTCTTGGTTATTCGAAATTTATTTCGAAAAAAACAAAAGGAAAATAAGGCGCATGTTTGTTTGTGTAAAATGATGCAATCAGTAAAAAAATCATACAAACGTAAATAAGAACAAAAATAATATAAAATTTTTAATAAAACCAAATTAAGTGAAATAATTTCTTATTATTCATATAATTTCACATTTTCATTACTTAGGACTTGAAATTGTCAACTTGAACCCTAAATTTTAATAATTATGCGTTTTTACGTTATATAATACATTAACGTATGAATTTACCTCTAAAGAATATATAATGTATTAAAATGAATTGAAAATCAATCTCAATTTTATATTATTTAAGTAAAAGACAACTGTTTTTTTTCTTATACGTAGGTTGGACTAGGTCCGTTGACGATAAGATCAATATTGTGCTTTATCAATGATAGTGATAGTATACAATGATGTATAGACAGATTGATGAAATGCAGCTGATTACAAATTTTGGCGAATTAACAACGTTACAATAGCGGTAAGAAATAGAAAAAAAAGAAAAATTAATTAATATGAATATTTGAAAAATTTAAAGTTTTTTATTTTGGTTCAGCTGTTTGTAAGTGAACTATTTTATGTGGACTTTATTTTATTTTCAATTTGCAGCAGTTTTCCTTTATAAATTCAACTCTAAATAAACAATATGAACGCAAACCATGTGCTATTTTGCTTACGCCCGATTTGGCAGCTTTGGGAGATTGTTTCTCGCACTTTTAGTGCATACATAAAGCAAAAAAAGTCGAATTTCGAAAATGAAACCTTGTAAACGCCTAACATAATAAGCGGGGTCGTCATGTAGGCAGGCGATTGTCACCGTGATTATTATTGTTTTTTTTGGGCCAGAATTTTTTATCGCCAAGAGACTAATCATGTACTATTATGGTCAACTATCCAATACTTCCCGTTTGTTTTGTCTAGAAACAAACTATATATGGTAAAGTGTTGTTTACAAGCACACAAAATGAAACTAAAAGAAAATTATGTAGAATTTGTGTTACGCCATAAAATGATAAATGAATTCGAATGTTCAAATATTCATATACGATTGACAGAAAATTTTTATTTAATATATAAAAAGATTGCTTCAATCAAAATAGGCATTATTACTTTCAAAAGATTTACATTTTATTACCAGTATATCAAAAATTTCTTGAATCAAAAAGGTGCAATAAGTTCAAAATTTATTTAATGTAAATTTTGAGCGAGTTACAACTTTAAAAATTAGTTCTATTTTTACGTTTTTTATAACATTAATTAGTTTTGTGGTAGCAATCCTGGACCTTTCTTTCAGTTGGGATGCCTCCACGCATATGTCAACCCCATCATCTTAATAGGTCGTCGGTGCTGGGTTATTCAAATAATCGCCTTTCGCTTTGTACTGGATCCAAATGCTATACAGCGCTGCGCAAATATTTGCGACTTTTTCCAGCTTCTTTGGGCCGTAGCAGTTCGTCCGCTCTACCTGTAAGATAGCCCAGCGACTTAGAGAAATTTTCAAAAACTGTTGTTAGAATTTCGAAATGAACAAAACAAAAGTTCAATTACCACTTGCAGTCCGAAATTTCTAGTAAGGCAGTACTTTCGTGACCGCGTTTGCAAGGGATCCTTAAGGAGAATGTCAGTGGGCATGTCAAATACTTTCCTATCTTCCTCGGTTTCAAAAATATCCACAGTTTCTTCTTCTAGTTCTTCTTCATTAGGTCTTTCTTTCTTTATGCGGCAACGTTTTGGATAATAATCAATATCATCCGTATTCCATATGTTCTCCGAAGCGCAAACGCGATCAATGAAACCATAAATGTCATCATTTAACTCAATATCCACTTTCTCAGTAGGTAAGGCGTTACGCATTTTAATGTGATCCAAATCGTATCGTTTAAAAAATCGTCTCAACCAACCGTTACTGGCGAAAAATTGTTGTTCTTTTCCTGATTGCGGTAACGAAACGAATTTCAACATGTATTCTTTAACGCTGCAAAATATCTTCTTGGCCATAATTTGTATGGATAGGCCATCTACGACGTAACCTTTCATATGCTCATGCCATTCAATCCACATGATTAGCACTTCTTCAGTTTTCTCCAACATAATATATCTAGTATAGGAAGTCGATTTCGCATTTAAGCCGGCACCAGTGAAAACTGCTCGTCTAATGGCATTTTCGTTTTTCTTTATCGATCTAACAGTTCCCTCGTTTAAGCCGAAAATCCTACCAACCACTGTCGAACCCATTGTAAAGTTGTTAAAACGTGCGAGTTTCTATTTATACAAATCTTGAACACATCCACTAAGTTCATAGCGTGACACAAACTTCTTTGCCACTGATTGAAAGTACGAAAGCGCGCTGTCATCACCATCTACCATTTAAAAGGATTGGGACCACCGAAGCTCTCCATTAACATCTGATAGCTTTTTCTTATCACCTCTTGTAATAATATGAAGGCTTTACGTGCAAATTAAGTTACTTATTTCAAAACAACCTAAGCCTTTGTGCAAGTCTGTTCTTGGAAAGAATCGCTGGAAAGCCATTGGTAATACCCCAGCTACAGACTCTGTTACACAGTTTATTGCGGTAGACTACATGATGCTTATTGGATACATCTTTTGTAATACTCGTTTTATATTTTTACAATAATTGCTACAAATACAACCATGCACAAGGTTGTTAATTTGCAGGTCAATCCGTTTATTTTTTTATGTTAAATGTCACTTTTGAAATGTCACTTGCCTGTAATTTTATTCTTATACGAGCATTTTCAAATAATAAGAGCTTTTCTTATATACTTTCTTTCTCATTTCCGAGTCGACTTGTGTTCAGTGTAGTGCGTGTTTTCTTTTCGTCTGCGTTTTTTCAATTGTTTCGGTGTTTTCGGTGTTTTTGTGTATTTAACTTCTGTCTTTTCAGTGTTATTGCTAAAACTGGTTAACGCGGATATCGCGTATGTGCTTTTGTTTCGTCTATATATAATAAAAAATAGAAAACAAAAAAACAAAATAAAAAAAAATTGAAAACATTTGACACTTTTCTTTAGTAGTTCCCAACCTTCTTCCACAGTTCCCAAACTTTTTCAAGTGAGTGGTTATTTCACAAATAATAAGCAATAGACAACAATAATGCATAATGGCCCCGGGGCCGCCAGACAAAAACTCGAATAGATTTTATCTATTAAGTGATACATTCCCCCAAAGAAAAAAAAGTAAAAATTCAGATTTTCCGTTGTTGCCGATCAGCGATACAACCCCTATTGATAAAAAATATATTGTTATTTCTTCAACCGATGCTCGAATAACAATTTCCCAAATTAGCCCTTTTGCTATAAAAAAAGCTCTAGATAGCATTACAACATACATCGACTCCATCTCGATTCTACGCGATGGGAATTTACTGGTCCTCGCTGGGAACCCGCGCGCAACCGAAAAACTCATAAAGGCCAAATCTTTAGCTAATCTATGTGCTATTTCAGCTAAACTACATGAGAAACTTAACTCGGTTCGAGGCGTAATTTATGCCCCTTGCTTAAAGCATGTGTCGGAAGATGAAATTGTTCGGGAAATGGGCATTCAAGGAGTGACTGAAGCATATAAATTAACCAAACTGAATGATGACGGAAAAACACGCTCTCCTACAGGAAGGATTATTTTAACTTTTGATCGCTATCGATTACCGCGAACAGTTGATGTGGCGTGGTATAAATGTAAAGTAGAACTATACATCCCAAATCCTATGAGGTGTAAAAATTGCCAACGCCTGGGTCATACGGCAAAAAGATGCACTAATGCTGCATCTTGTGCTAACTGTGGTCATCCTCCTCATACTGAAAGCTGTACCCGTAGTTTCTGCATAAATTGCAATGATCAACACTCAGCGTTAGACAAACAATGCCCACGTTTTGTACAGATGCGTGAAATATTAAAAATCAAAACAGAAAATTACTGTAGCATGGGCGAAGCGCGACGCACATACCGGGAAAGAAATCCATCTGTAGCCCATGGAATTGGCAAAAGTAATACCTATGCTGCTGTTGCCTCGCAAATCGAGCCTAGTAAGACTTTAACTGCAACTGCTTCCAATGAAAAACCAGTTCCACCATTAACCAAAATTTATATCGCGAAACCAGTTACATCACTTGCCAAAGATAATATTGAAAAAACCAAAGCAACTGTAAATATTGAAAAAATCAAAGCAACAACACATATGCTAAAATCTAATATACCAAATTCTCCAGAATCCCCAGCTCTCAACTTTACTCAACATATCACAAGTGGTAATGAATCCATTCTTTCATCCATTAATCAACCTTCGAAAACCAAAGCAACTGCAAATATTGAAAACATTAAAACAACAACATATATGCTAAAATCTAATATACCAAATTCTCCAGAATCTCCAGCTCTCAACTTTACTCAACAAATCACAAGTGTTAATGAATCCATTCTTTCATCCATTAATCAACCTTCAATTTCAAATTATTCACGTGCGCCAACCCGTTGCGCTTCAAATGTACCAAATCACCTAAATACAGATTATTCTGCTGGTAAGAATAAATCATTCACGAAAAATCCCTATAGCGACCTTCTCGACGGAGACGCTGACATGTCAACTTAACCCTCCCTCCACTCTGCTTACATGTCATTACAATTAAATAAAGTTTTTAAAATTCTACAATGGAACATTAAGGGACTTATTAATAATTTTGATGAACTCCGTACACTCATAAGTGATTTTAATCCAACCTTTTTATCGCTTCAAGAAACCCATTGTAGAAGCTCTTTTAATCCTATTCCATCCAAATCATATACTGGATACTTCACGAATGCTGATCAAAACTCATATTCCAAACAAGGAGTAGGTGTTTTTATAAAATCAAGTATACCTCACAAACGCATAAATTTAAGCTCAAATATACAAGCCGTAGCGATACAAATAATGTTAAATATAAAATTTACAGTGCTTTCGCTCTATATTCCACCTTCGCAATCGTTTTCTCAGCAAGAACTCTACAGTTTATTCTCCGTACTTTCCCCCCCATTAATTATATGCGGCGATTTCAACAGCTGGAATACCATCTGGGGCTCAACAGTGAACAACACTCGCGGTACTGTTTTAGAAAAGGCCTTTTTTCAAAGCAACCTTTGCTTTTTAAATGGTGGAAAACCAACGCACTTCTCAACTCATCATACTTTTTCACATATTGATTTAACATGTTGCTCTCCATCACTTCTTCCTTTGGTGTCCTGGTCTATTTCTGATTATCTACATAATAGTGATCACTTTCCAATCATAATCGATCTTAAACTTTCAACGTCCTCTGCTACTCCAGCAAAACAGGCCAAAATTCCTCCTAGATAAAGCGGATTGGATCAATTACTCCAAACAGTTGGAGTCATTTTTGAACTCAAAGCCATTTAACGGGAACTGCCACCATGATGCTGTTATTATGTCTAAAGCGATTCGCACGGCTGCTCATCTTTCTATTCCTCAATCCAACACCTCTTTTAAACGAGTTAGGGTTCGTTTCGTTTTTGAGGAAAAATAAAATGGATCTATGGCACCGCTTTAAGAGATGTCCTGATCAGAATCACTTGTTATTATACAAAAAGGCCTTCCTTCAGGAAGGAATTACGGACATCAAAGGCACATAGTTTCGAACTTTTCTCGAGACGAATTCACAGAAATACATCAATGAAAGATGTGTGGAACAAAATCAACAGACTTAATTGGACTTCAAACCTGAACCAAATTTCTGCCATCTACACTCCCAATGGAACTTTAACTGACGCAGATGAGATTTCTAATTACTTTGGAAAAGTGTGGTGCGAA